AAGATGTGCCCTGTGATACAGAAATGCTTAACAATGATTTATCTACACTAAAAGTTTAGAGTGCCTAAAACCCGTGAAAATGGTAAAAAGGACCAATCCTCATGTTTTATGTTGCGCTATCCTTTTAACAATAAAACGATGAAAACATCGTTTAAACCGTAGTAATTACAAAACAACGAATCCGTGTAAATCAGGGCAATCGCATATCAAAACATTTTATTAATGTTTCCTATAAACAGCAGTTACTGAGGTAGTCTGTACTATTTATTTTATTTATTGCGTTTTTACTCGATACGCATCTTTTTATTCTTTCTTTCAAATTCAAAGTTGCTTGGACTAAAATCTACTGAGATGGTGCGTTTGAGTTCAACCACCTTCTTGCCCTTCGGATATTTGAATTTCTTTAGCTTTGGACTTTTGGCCAGCACTGGTTTGATACCATTAACATTGTGTGGCGGGATGTGATCCTTCTGTTCAAACTTTACCAAAATTTTGGTTTTTCTTTTCGTGACCGGATCTCGCTTTGTCGTTGTGTCCGAGTGGCTTAAAAAATTTACACGTTTTGAGTGTTTCACGATGACTGTTTTATATCCTGAGTTTAAGAGCGTGTTCTTTTCGGTTAGCTTCCTTAGATCAATTCCATCTTTGCTTTTCCTACTTGTATGTCTTTTAGATCGCGTATTTCTACTTTTTTTTGGCATTTCAACGGCATGGTCGCTCTGAAGTAGCAGTTTGTCCTTAGGAATTTGTGCGTTGTCGCGGCAGCTTTCTCTATTCGTGATTTCTCCAAGAACGCGTCTTCCTCGTGCTGTTTCATTCTGCGGTGATGCGTTTCCTTCCCGTTTACCATAAACAAGTACTTCATTTTTCTCCAAATCAAAACGCACTCTCTTTTCAATAGTTGTAGTGCTGTAACCCAATCTTGTTCTACCATCCTGTATGTTCAGTTTTTCTATGCTGTTATCCATTTCTTTCAGCAGTTTATCTGCCGTCGGATTTTCCTCTGCTTGGATATTCTTGTGCGCATTTATTTGTCTACCAGCGATCAAAATCTGAGTGTTTTCATCATCACAATCACCATATTCTATAACCGCACCATCGTTCCCACGTTTTTCTACTATTAATTCTCCAGAATCTTTCATTTTACAATCTTTACCTTTTTCATCTCCCTTTGGTTCCTTTCTGCAATACAAATTTATGATACTTTTGTTTTTCTCTGTGTTTTTAAACGGAAGCAACCTGTAAATGTTTTCTCCTGTCATTTGATCGTTGAACAAAAACATCTTTTTTATATAAAAGTTGTCAAATTTACACTTTTTGACAAAGTTGAAATTCATCACGTCAAAAAAGGATCTGCCCTCCATTTTATGTCGGAATATTATTTGATATTTGAGTGACGGATTGTTGACAAGCGAATACTTTTTGTCCTTGAGGTACAAAAGTATTTCTTTGCGTGTTGGCGGTCCAACAAATATGAAATCGTCCATAGACAAGGGTTTGGCGGTTTAAAAATTATTACTTTTAAATTTATATTCTCCTTTTTTAGGCTTCTAATCCAAGCTTTTAACACGATACGGTGTTATTCATTTGATATTATTTGTATATTATCATGGTGTTTTCTCGTGCAACAGCAATTCTGTGTTATGAAGTGGCCAGTGTTTTAATTGGTTAATTTGAGAATACTGGTAAGGAGTGTTATGATCAATTATTACCCACTACGCGTTCTTATTGGTTATTTTAAATGAAGTAACACTTTTAAGTAATGATTGTGTTGAATCTATTTGCCGACAAAAAAGTACATAGTGATAAGTGTGTAAATCCATATTGGGTAAAAATTTCTCATTGAACTGATACGGGCCGTTCTAATCTTTACGGCACATTCTCACGCCAACGTGCGATTATATTCAAACTTTATAGAAGAAGTTCTTCCCAACGAATTTGTTTGCAAGACATATGGTAGCTCTGTTCTTTTATGGTTTTACCTCTATTACACACCACTTTTTCTCTACAACGAACTATTATAAGACATAGATTGTAAACTACGATACATCCTTGGACTTATAACGTTAGCTTGGGTTAGACTAATCATGTGTGAAAAGATAGCTATAATCGTATAAATTTGGTTATTTAATTAAGACAAAACCGTATTCAACACCAATAAGACACGTAATATCTCGTGAATAACTATTTCTTATTGTATTATTTGCAGTATGACCAACTTCTATTTTTGATTAAATCAACTATGATCTTACCGCTTTAGATGTACGCAGATTTTAGTACTTTACTAATATATTTCTAACCGTGATTTATGTGGTCTAAGACTGAAAAATGATCCTTAGGGAACGCAATATTCTTATATTTAGTTATTGTCATCTCTCAGTATTAATAAAAAACAAAA